TTCGCTGACGTGTTTTCCATGGAATTGTCGACAGGCTGACTAAAATCATCGACACTATTGACTTCGGCAATCCTGGTAGTCACACCGACGCTTACGTCATACAAGAATTAAAAAATAAAATGAAGAAAGGGAAGGGAAGATAAAGTACGACGCTGTAAACTAGTTCATCATAGCAGTAAACCGTCAAAAACGAAGTTTGAATGAATCAATTGTCAACATGATCAGAATTTTCCAAAAATAAATGTTTGAACAGTTTCTGGCAACAGACTGTGATTTTTTTCACGAGGCTTCTGATGCACCATCTTTTGTCAGTGAACGGTGAAGCGAGACACTGTATATCTATGATTACATTGCGGCAGAACAACTGAGAACTGTCAAAAATTAGGTTCTGGAATGACGAGGGCTGAGATACATATTCAAAGATAAATGTAGGGATCCCAATCCCAGAACTTGGAGTAAGCAAGGACTTCCTGTACGAAACCTTCAAGAGAACTCTGAATGAGAAGAGAGAAGAACAAATGATCATCGTCAGTTTTATCGTCAATTCGTTATATTGTCTTTGCACTCTCAAATTGTGTACTTTACTTTAACCTTAACAGAAGAATCGAGTTCTGTTTATTTTTCAAAAACTTGATCAGAAATCACCCATCATTTATTTGACGAGGTGAAGCAATTTTTGAATAATCTCACGAGATGAAAACTAGCATCCTACTTGAGACGGTAATCTCGCACAAGACACAGGCACCGAGAAGAAACAACCATGACGCTTAGTGCAGGAAAATTTGGAAACACACATATATATTACTGCAGATTGTTTGAAACTGATATTTTAGTTCTGAGTGATTTTAAAAAATCTTCCTTCTATTTTATTAGCACCTTTCGGAAACTACTTAGTGAAGAGCTTTATCAATTTGTCGGAACATTAGGAAAAAACTAACAAGGATTTACTTCAATTCATAACCAAATTACAATATAAGATGCTTTTAGCAGGACTGTCTCCTCGCATGAGTGCAGCACCAAAAAGGCGAACTAGAAGTCCACAACTGGACAAAGCTGGTCGTAGCTAGTTGGGGAATCTAGGTGTTAAGAATTACACAAAAATGCTCATTATCGTAGATACTGACACTGGAAAAAGCAGTCCTAATGAATTCATAGCTGGACTAAATCAGGACCACTCAACCTTGGCTGTTTCGGCTTCTTCTGAAAGCTTTACAGAGCAGACACAATTTGCTGACGTGTTTTCCATGGAACTGCCGACCGGCTGACAAAAATCATCGACACTATTGGCTTCGGCAATTCTGACAGAGACACCAATGCTTACGCCATACAAGAACTGGTTAGCAAACGGAAGGAAGTCGAAATACGACTCAGTAAACTTTTTCACCATAGCTGTAAACGGCCAAAATCGACGTTTGGATAAATTACTTCAACATGATCAGATTTTTCCAAAAAATGCTAAGCAACAGTTCCTAGCAACATACTAAGATTGTTTTCACGAAGCTTCCGATGCACGATTTATCGTCAGTGAACGGTATAGGGAGACAGGGACAACCGATCACTACATCAGGGCAGAATAAATGAGAGCATACGGTAAGGAGATTCCCGAAGGTCGAGGGCTGAGATATCGGTTCGAAGATACATATAGGGATCCCAATACCAGATATTGGTAGAGACAAAAAAAAAATGTATAACATCTTCAAGCGAGCTCCGAGTGAAGATACTAACAGACAATCATCAATTTCACCATCAGAATGGGCATAATACTTTTGCAAACTCAGATTTTGTACTCAGCTCTCACCCAAAAAGAATGAGAGAGTTACATTTTTAATATTTATTTCGCATTTATGTTCAAAACTTTAGTTTAAATAATAACTAAAAAAGAGTAGGAGTTGATTTTAGCCGGACTGTCTGCTTGCACGGGTGCTGTGTCAGAACACGCAAACTAGAAGTCCACAGCTGAAAACAGGTGATGGCAGCTAATTGGGAGGTCTAGGTAAAAAATTACACAAAACTGCTCATTATCGGAGAAACTGACACTGGAAAAAGCAGTCCTAGTTAAGTCATTGCTGGTTTAGATAAGGACCACTCAAACTTTCCAGTTTCAGCTTCTTCTCAGAGCTTTACAGAACAGACACCATTCGCTGAAGAGTTTTCACTTATCACTTATCAGAAATCACTTACCTACTAAATGACGAAGTATAGTAATTTTTGAGATGACCTCACGAGATGAAAACTTACCATACTGCTTTCGAAAGTAATCTTGAAAGAAACATGGGACCGCAAAGGAAAATCATGACGCTCGATATCCAAAAACACAGGTAGTTGTTTTAACTGCTGAAATAATAGTGCGGATTAATTGAAACTGATACATAAGTTCTCATAAAGCCTCTTGAAGTGGTTCTTTTTTTTTAATTGGCTATGTTTCGGAAAATAAGTATTTGAAGAGCTTTACTAACTTATCAGTACATCATTTATCATTAGGCATATACTTTTAAGACTTACTTCACATCACAACAAAAATAGAATAGAAGTTGATTTTAGCTGGAGTGTCTGCTTGTACGAGTGCTGTGCCAAAATATAAAAAAAACTGGAATTCCGCAACTGAAAAGAAGCTAGTTGAGGAGAGGATCTAGGTTTTAAAAATCGCACAAATATATTCATTATCGGACACACTGACACTGGAAAAAGAAGTCCTTGTGAAGTCATTGCTGGTTTACATCATGACCACTCAACGTTATTTCGGCTCTTTCTCAGAGCTGTACAGAACAGACACAATTCGCTGACGTGTTTTCCATGGAATTGTCGACAGGCTGACTAAAATCATCGACACTATTGACTTCGACAATCCTGGTAGTCACACCGACGCTTACGTCATACAAGAATTAAATAATAAAATGAAGAAAGGGAAGGGAAGATAAAGTACGACGCTGTAAACTAGTTCATCATAGCAGTAAACCGTCAAAAACGAAGTTTGAATGAATCAATTGTCAACATGATCAGAATTTTCCTAAAATAAATGTTTGTGAACAGTTTCTGGCAACAGACTGTGATTTTTTTCACGAGGCTTCTGATGCACCATCTTTTGTCAGTGAACGGTGAAGCGATACACTGTATATCTATGATTACATTGCGGCAGAATAACTGAGAACTGTCAAAAATTAGGTTCTGGAATGACGAGGGCTGAGATACCTATTCAAAGATAAATGTAGGGATCCCAATCCCAGAACTTGGAGTAAGCAAGGACTTCCTGTACGAAACCTTCAAGAGAACTCTGAGTGAGAAGAGAGAAGAACAAATGATCATCGTCAGTTTTATCGTCAATTCGTTATATTGTCTTTGCACTCTCAAATTGTGTACTTTACTTTAACCTTAACAGAAGAAGCGAGTTCTGTTTATTTTTCAAAAACTTGATCAGAAATCACCCATCATTTATTTGACGAGGTGAAGCAATTTTTGAATAATCTCACGAGATGAAAACTAGCATCCTACTTGAGACGGTAATCTCGCACAAGACACAGGCACCGAGAAGAAACAACCATGACGCTTAGTGCAGGAAAATTTGGAAACACACATATATATTACTGCAGATTGTTTGAAACTGATATTTTAGTTCTGAGTGATTTTAAAAAATCTTCCTTCTATTTTATTAGCACCTTTCGGAAACTACTTAGTGAAGAGCTTTATCAATTTGTCGGAACATTAGGAAAAACTAACAAGGATTTACTTCAATTCATAACCAAATTACAATATAAGATGCTTTTAGCAGGACTGTCTCCTCGCATGAGTGCAGCACCAAAAAGGCGAACTAGAAGTCCACAACTGGACAAAGCTGGTCGTAGCTAGTTGGGGAATCTAGGTGTTAAGAATTACACAAAAATGCTCATTATCGTAGATACTGACACTGGAAAAAGCAGTCCTAATGAATTCATAGCTGGACTAAATCAGGACCACTCAACCTTGGCTGTTTCGGCTTCTTCTGAAAGCTTTACAGAGCAGACACAATTTGCTGACGTGTTTTGCATGGAATTGTCGACCGGCCGACAAAAATCATCGACAATATTGGCTTCGGCGATCCAGACAGACTTAAGAACGGTAACGTCACACATGACTTGATTAGTACACTGACGTCAAAATAAGACTCTGTAAATCTGCTCATCATAGCAGTAAACAATCAAAATTGTCAACCTGAGCAGATTTTTCCCAAAAAAACGTATGGCACGGGTTCTGGCAACAGACTGTTATTGTTTTCACGAAGTTTCCGATGCACCATTTTTTGTCAGGGAAAGGTGTAGGGAGACAGATTAAACCTATGATTACATAATCAGGTTTTGGACGAGACGTGAGCTTCCTGGACGAAACATTCAAGAAAGTCCTGAGTGAAAAAACAATGGGTCAATTTGATCGCCAGTGTTGCGCATTTTATTTTTGCCCGAACCCAAACATTGGATGAGACAGCAGAGTCCTATCTACAACCTGCAAGCAAGTTCCGAGTGAAAAAAAAAAACAATAGATAGTCGTCAATTTAACCGTCAGAGTTATGCATAAAACTTATGCAATATCAAATTTTCACTTAGTTCTCACCCAGACAGAATGAGCGAGTTACGTTTTTTTCTCCAAAACTTGATCGGAAATCACCCATCACTTAGGTGACGAGGTGAAGTAGCTTTTGATTTAATCTCACGAGAAAAAAAGTAGCATCCTGCCTCCATGAGCAATCTCGCACAAAACACGGGCACCGAAAAGAAACAATCATGATGCTTGGTCCCAAGAAACTTGGAAACACTAAATTATTTTAAATGCCGATATATTACTGCAGATGATTTGGAACTAATATTTAAGGTCTCAGAATAACTAGAGTCTGTCTTCTTATTTTCATAGCTAACTTATGCAAAACTACTTAGTGGAGAGCTTTACTAACTTTTCAGAACAACCTTAGGAAAAACCTTTTAAGGATTTACTTCAATTCATAAGAGAATGAATTAGAATAAGAGATGGTTTTAGCCGGACTGTCTGCTAGCACGGGTGCTGTACGGAAACAGGCAAACTAGAATACTACAACTGGAAACGGGTGGCCACAGCTGGTTGGGGATCTAGCTGGTAATAAGCGCAGAAAAACGCTTTTTATTGGCATGACTCGCACTGGAAAAAGCAGTCCATGTAAAATCAGTGCTGGAATAGATCATGACTACTCAACCTTTGCTGTTTTGGCTGCTTCTCATAGCTGTACAGAACAGACAAAATAGGCTGACGCGTTTCCATGTAATTTTTGATCAGCCGAGAAAAACCATGGACACTAATTGCTTCGGAGATCCTGGCAGAGACACCGGTACCTACTTCATACAAGACTTGGTTAGCAAACTGAAAGCACTCTGCCAAAAATCATTACACTTTTATCGATTCAATTGATGAATTTCAACATGGCCATGCAAAAAAAAACAACGCGATTTCACGATGAAACTCACATATTGGTATATAAGAGAGTTAGAATCATGGTTTTACGCAAGCCGTCTTGCTTTTTTCTAGCACATGAAAATGATAGCCTCATTTGTACAATTCTGAACGTAACAAAACTCGTCGACAAGATTTATCATTATCAGTTACAGCAAGAGTCTGGTCCAATTTTAATTCATGTGCAAAGTAATTTGTGCTTTTTCAATTGATACCATTCTATATAGTTAGTCCAGAAGAATCAATATAGCTGTAAATCACGTGGGCGTAATCTTTTTTATTTGTTTTTGGTACAGCAGTTTAAACTGTACATTCATCTAAGAACTTTCGAAATTCAATGAAGACTGTGGACTAACTTGAACTTTTAGGGTTGAAGTATTTTCAATTTTGTAATGACCAGATATATCATCACACAGACTTCGATATAATTTATACGCTGAAAATTATTAATTACTGCATTTGACCTGATTTGGTTGGGATGTTTAAGATCTACTCTATTTTGCCTTTTCTTAGTGCTACATATATTCCCCGCACCATTCTGTAGAACCAGTAGAAATTCATCGCACTGATAACTAAGTAGCACAAGAACATGACAGCTTGGAAATACTTGTAGTTGTCCATATACGTTAGAATGAAGAGGCCTCTTGGAATAAAGTAAAAGGAGGGGAGAACCCTCGCGACTAGAAATGAACCCGTCATGAGCAGCCCGTTCGCTTTGTAGACAACAGTATTCTTAGAGTAGCTGAGAATTGAGAGGACGATTCTCATGTTTATGAATGGATTGCTACACTCCATCAGACAAAGGAGGTATTTCTCCATTAGGTAGTTCGAGTCCAAGGCAGCCAGAATGGTGACGGCGAAAGCGGCAACGTGGTGACCCAGAACCCACATGGGCGACTGGCCTGTGTAGAGGATTTTGTAGACTGTATCCACCAAGAGGTAGCCAATCATCATCTGGCTGAAAGCAAAAAGTTGCATGCTTCGATTCAGTTGGATATAAAAAATGGATCAACCCTAATATCAAACCCCAAACCTTTTCCAAGTGATGAATCCCCCTGTGTGTATTAGTTTTAAGAACGAACTCTGTATAAAAAATGCACTTAAAAAAAGCCTTTGAATACAGGGTATTCTCAAAACCAGTTTTACAATAAATCCTCTCTTCTCACAGATATTGAAAAGATTCTTTTGGCAGTAAGCGGGCAAAAACTGCCGAATTTTGATGAAACAACTCATTGAGTTGATATTTTTGGTTCAAGCATGTTTGCGCGATTTATTGAATTTTCTCTGCATTACTGAAATAAAACAACCTGATATAACGAACTAAAACAGAATATGTTCTTTCATTTTTTCTCAAATTTGTTTACTTTTGGCCAAACGAAAATTGGGGCCAAAATTTTCTTGAAATTTCACCAGCTTTTTTATCGTGCATTTTTTTGCGAAATTGCAAAACAAAACTACACCCTTAAAACGGGTCAATTCATTTGGTTTACAATTAAACAGGTGAGCAGGGTCAATTGATGTAAGAATAACTAGTTCAGCACAAAATGCTGCGAGAATTCATACTATGGTTGGGAGTGCTTCTGAACATTTTTTAAAACAAAGCAAAGAAACACGTTTTAAAACAGAAAATATAAAACAATGTTTATTATTTTACAATGTTTTACGCTGAAAACTAGTGATTTCTGGAAGCCATAGGAGTATCAGAATGGGAAAGAGACCGAATTTTGAAACAGCGTTGGCTGGTATTGCTATTGGCTCTCGTTTTCAGAGTTCCCAAATCATCGGGAATTACTTATGGAAAGTTAAGAAACCAAATGGAGGCTGAAAAGCGCGGAAAACTTGCATTTCTTTATCGCTAACTGAACGAACTGGAAAAAAAACAATAATACGTTTTTTATTTAAAAAAAACCGCTGTTTAATAATTTTTTAAATAAAAAAAGTTTATTTTTCTCAACTCTGCCTAATAAACAAACGCTCGCAGTGTAAAATATCAATGAACAGTTGAAATGATATAAGTAAACAGTTTACCAGATTGAGGTAAAGAGGGAGACTCCATCCACGAAGTTCCCCGTGTAGTAGAGTTTCCAAATGGCAACAACTGAAGTTAGCGAAATGTAGAAACAGTTCACTGTTCCAGTGACCTGGCAGATAAAGTTTCCAATATCCTTGTCTTGGGCCACTTTTAGTGTTGGTATCAATTTTTGGAATAACTGTACGCTGTAGCCAGTGGTGAGAAGGACAAACATAGCCGCGTATATGAGCACATTGTACCAAAATCCTCCTGTATAAGAGAACTTTAGAGTTTGATATGAAGCTGATGATTGTATACTATTTGTAACGACAAACGCCTCTGGCGTAAATAACAGAAACTCTTGGAGTGACATTCTCGTTGGATGTTCAATTAGATAAGGTGGCCAACAGCATCATCAATTGTCCGTGTTTTTAAACTGAAAAATATTTCACTAATTGCACTTTTTTTTCGCCACTTGTAACAGTCGCCTACTTCAGTCACATATACACAGCGACGGAGCGTAGAAAAAGTACCTATTAACGACTGGCAGTCGTCAGTTACCTTAATTCTACTCGTTTTTCACCGTCTCGACCTTGCCAGTTGATTTTCTGGTCTGTTTAGGGCTAAGTAAAAAGTTACTATTTTTAGGCCATCAGTCAAACGACTTTTGATCAGCTTTCGTTTACATGCGAACACAACCACATAGCTGAGTCTCGGATCCTCAGACGACGTGATTGCTATTAAAAACACGGCTCGAATACCCTATTTTAATATGTTTCTGGCGACAGTTCTATATTAAATCCATTGGAGATGGATTGACCCTTTGCTCTTCCTAGCTACTCATATTCTAAAGTATCAAATAATACCGGTGTTAATTCAAAGTTCTATGGCATCAGAGTAGCTAAAAAGTTAGTTTACTACAGTCTTTCAGCATTTAACAGTCTCTGGGGGACCAAGCCTCCGCTTCCGTGTTCTCCTCGAGATAACGTTGTTATCATTCCAAATTCGTGGCACGGGAGGGTACTGCTTTCCACCACCAAAGCCTCCTTTCCCACAATCTTCTCTCACTAAGGGTCTTAACGTGCGTGAATGTCACGATACGAGGCTTCGTATTTTTCTCGTTCTCGTGTGACTGTCTTTTACTAGATTTTAGGTTGTTCTGTTTTCTCGTTCTTATTAGTCAAAATGGCCGTCTTTCGGTTTTTCTGCGAAATATTCACTCTTCGATCGAAATTTTAAAAATAAAAATTCTAGAATATTCCTACCCTCCTTCGCAGCACTTTTTCGTTACTAAGGCCTTTAGTCGTCTTTTTCTGTCCCGGCGGAAGGTTGCGCTGTGCCAATCTGGCAGAATGGCACAGTCTTTCACCATATAACAGTCTCTGGGGGATCAAGCTACACTACGGAACATAGGTCTTATTTTGACTAATAACAACGAGATTTTTCTAAAGCCTTTGATAAAGTTCCTCATAGTATCCTAATCACTAAACTACGGAACATAGGTCTAGGCATTTAAATACAAGACATAATTCAAGACTATCTAACAGATAGAATGCAATTTGTGAAAATCAATAAAAGTTTATCAACTCTGAAAGAAGTAACTAGCAGTAAACCACAGGGGTCAACTCTTGGCCCTATACTTTTTATCATATTCATTAACAACTTTCCCAAATGTATTGAAAATTCGGATTGTTTTAGCTATTGTGACGATATGAAAATCTTGTCTACTGAAGAAATTCATCTGCAAAAAGACACGACAAATGTTGAAAAATGGTGCCGAGAAAATAAAATGCCGCTGAATGAAGATAAATGTAATCTGTTAAACCTCAAAGGGAAAATGGAAGTTACACTATTTAATACAATTGTTGATACCGCAAAGACCCAAAAAGACTTGGTCAGTAAATGCTGAAAATCGCATATCAAAATCAATGGGAGCTTTTTACAAAATCAAACGGAATATCTCGAAAAAACATCATTAAAGTCAAAATTAAACTTATGTAACATTCGCCTACTTCGGTCACATATGAGGCTTAAGAAAAATAGACCCTATAACCATTGGCTCAAGAGTCAAGGACACTATCTCTTGTGTTTTTCTACCTCAAAAACGGTCGGAGCCAATTCGGTTCGCTTGCGACATGAGACTAGAACCCGTTACAGCTTAAAGGCCACTACCAAAATACCCCCCACTCTAGAAAATAAGAACGTTACCATACTTAGGTCTCAAAAAACCCAGAATACACGAACGCCGTTAAAAACAGGGTCAGAACAATCCGTTAAGCTACTTTTTATTGGACAGTGGAACTTTGATCCATTTCAGATGGATCAACCTAAAACTCGCCTTACCTCAACATACTTATTATAAAATGCACGGTACTCGAGAAAACTAAATTTGGTACTTACATAGCAGCACGCTTGAGAAACAGAGAAACTAAACTAATTAATGACTCTAGCATAAATATTATCGAATATAACTCAAGAAGTTTTCTAACGATGAGTTCCAATCAAAGGAAATAAGTTTTAATTCAAGAAAGTAGTTTTGGATCTGGACCATTGGGAGACTTCAGTTGTCTGCCTTTATGTTGAAGGTTCACTCTGTTCCAGTTGACTCTTGCTTTGCTCTTGTATCTGTTCGGTCTCCTATATCAGATAGGACAGCTCTACTCTAGTTTTCTACGATGGAAATTGCGAATAGCAATTTCCCACTAGCTCTTCTCTAGTTTTCTACGATGGAAATTGCGAATAGCAATTTCCCACTGTGTATGGTTGACAACTTTCCCGCAATTGTAATTCGGTTGTTCTGATTTTAAATTTTATGTTTTCAATTGTCGCGAGAAAACTGAGCATGACAGGCTCCATTCGAATTTTTGAAAAATGAAACTTCACTCCAAAACCACGTATTTTCGTGTTCCTCAAGGTCAAACTTCCAGATATGACCGACTGGCACATACTCCCCGGACTCAAAATCGATGTCCTCATCGCGTGCTGCCGTCTGTCAGTGAATCCCCAGAAACCCGAGTGTTACTCAAGATACAGTGCCAGTGGTCATTTACAGAAGTTTGCAGCAGACTTAAGTTTATCTACACCCCAAAAATTACAACCATGTAAAAATTTTTACACTATCGCTAAACAGCAATCAAAATCTGCACACACCTGCACCTTTGAATTTTCGCTTTTTAAGCTAGTAATTTAAAATTTCTTTTGTCCTATTCAATCAGGAAATTGTCATGCAGCATTTTGATTTATATAATAGATATAATATATTAATAACAATATCTCATTTGTTAAAATTTCTTTTTCGTGAACCTAAATTTTATCCAAGTTCACCCTGGAGCCCCTTTCCTTCCCTCTCAAGACTCAAGACTCTAGAATTACCCATTGAGCCACCTGCTCACCTCGCGTTCTTCGCCTTCGATGTACCAGACCCAGATGTATTTGACACCGTGATCTGCTTCAACAGTGCCTCTTCGTCATCGGAGCTAATCACGATCTCTTCCCAGGCTTTCAGCTGTTCATAGGACCGCATTCATTCCCTTTGCTCCTGCAATCTCTTCGCTTGATTGGGCAAAATCTTCACCCTCGACTCCCGGTTCAAACAGAAGGAATTGTGCAGACTCAGGCTCACGTTCTTCGCCAAGTCTTCCTCTAGTATCGACTCTCTCGCCTAGGTGTTGTTTCTGAACACTCTACCAACCTTTTTCCACCCCGTCGTGATCGCATTTCGATGGGTCAGCAGAGGTCTTTTGAAAGCCTCCGGTCCTATCTCGGCCTGGAACTGTCGATATTCCTTCTGATATTTCCTCATATGATCCTTCGTTACCATGTATAACCCGGACGTCAACGTCGCTCGAAACCAAGGAAAGAACCTTATGCGGCTCCATGCGTGTTTGACTTCCATCGGTATGGCGAATACCTTGCATGCAGTCTCAAACAACTCAAGTCTCCTGCTGTAATCTATCGCGTAAATCGACTCTGCCGTTGGCGTCTCCGCTTCCCGATACTTCGTTACATTTTCTTCAATCCATCGTAGAGCCAGCATCGTGCTCACCACTAAGATGGTCACCTTCTGCTGATGATTGGGCAGTCCTAACGACCTGATTTCTTCCACATCCCAGATCAGGCAGAGATTCGCGTGATCCGGGTACCACACTGTTTGTGCCAGACAGTGGCATGGACATTCCCCATGAGTGAGGTCTATGCTCCTAAGATTGCGCTCTCCCGAGGCTTCTAGGAGAGGCTCAAGTTCCATCATTTTCTCGTGTAACGCGTCGTTCTCTTCCAGGTTTGGAGCACCACCCATAGGTTTTCCGATCATGTTTTGTCTCTCGTGGTCACTTGTGTTTTCACTTTCCAAACCCAAAAGTTCTTCCCCCCAGATTTCACTCAAGTCGTCCCTCTGTTCCTTCGGTACTGTCCCTCGGATTTTCCTCAACAACCGGTGTAAATGATGCGACATCCGAGCCAGTCTCGCGCACTTGGGCACTGAGAAGGCTTTGTCTATCAATACCCTTTGGCTGGATACCTCCACCATCGCCATGTGCAATGGATAGTGGCTGCCACATAGGTTGGCCATCACTGACCCCACTAAGGACTTCGCATTTAGAGGCAGACCATAGGCTTTGCTCATGGGGAATCCCATTTCCGCTTCAAGTCCAACCTTCCAGCTCTTGATGTGTTTCTGGGTTACCTGCAACACCCCGGGCCATGACTCCACACTCAACGCGGTCACCAAGTGGTGTTCTGACTCTAGCCTCTCCAGTGACTGGAGACTGCACATTCTCGAGAAGAATCCCAGAGCTGTTGCTAGGTTCACCGTGGTACTCGCGTAACACTCAGCCACGATCTGTATTTCACTCTTCTCCCTTTCGGTAATGTCTTCAAACCAGGTGGCTAGATCTTCTTTCTGGAAGGACTGTATCCTGACGCATGACCGTCCATCACAGGTGTGCTCGCCATTTCCACACGTCGAATCAAGACAACTGCCCGGCTCCATTTTCTTCACCGACCCTAGTCTACTCGTCGCTTCACTTGACTCCTTCGCCTGAGGCAGGATCAGTCTGTGCACTATGCTCAATGTCGCCAGAACTTCGTCCTCCGCTGGTGCTAATCTCACTCGCTCCGTGACTTCCTCGATCAGGCTCGCATGGCGATGTGGACACCAGGAGGGCCGCAGCAGTTTCCACACTACTCCCAGATTCGTGACCAACATGCCATTCCTGTTACCCATCTTCAGTTCGACTCTTTTACTTGAGCGCGGCACACTTATCACCTCTGGTATCTTCTCGAGAATCAAACCCAAGATAGGTCTCTCTCTCTCTCTCTACAATGTCTATTTCCACTATCTTATCTGTCCAGAACTTTAGTAACTCCGCCACCTCGTAGTTTCTGTGAGCGCCTCCGGCTTCCGAGTCCAAGAAAGGGTTGTACGCCATCCC